ACACTAAAACAAGCATGTTCAAAAAGTCGGAAACGCGAGAGATTCATGATAGATTTATTTATATTTAAATCGTTAGGTAATATTATTAATTTTAATTAACAAAAATTAAATAATACATTATAAAGCATTTGTATTAGGTGTACAACTTTGCTTTCCGTTTTCCTATAGATGGCTTTAGCGGTAAGTGGTGGTCGAAATAAATAGATCATAGACGTCATATAATAAACTTGGGCATCTGTCAACATAACCCCATAGAAACATTAGTCGAATTGTGTCTGCATCATAAAGTTATTCTCGATTGAAAATGTCAGTTTACGAGCCAAATTCTCGTCATTTGCGGGAGGTTTTAATTTTTTGCTTCAATATGAAGAAATCTGCGGCTCATCGAATGCTCTCAAATACTTATGGTGAGGCCGCTATTAGTGAAAGAACGTGTCGTGAGTGGTTTCAACGCTTCAAGAACGGTGATTTTGACGTCCAAGGTCGTGCTCTGTATTTGATGGGACCAGCTCGGCGTAGTGTATTATGAACTGTTAAAACCGACTGAAACAATCACAGGCGATCGGTATCGAACGCAATTGATGCGTTTGAGCCGAGCATTGAAAGACAAACGGCCGCAATACAACGAGAGACACGATAAAGTGATTTTGCAGCATGACAATGCTCGACCCCATGTTGCGAAAGTGGTCAAGACATACTTGGAAACGTTGAAATGGGAAGTCCTATCCCATCCGCCGTATTCTTCAGACGTTGCTCCCTCTGACTATCACTTGTTTCGATCAATGGCACACGGCCTGGCTGACCAGCACTTCCGGTCTTATGAAGAAGTAAAAAATTGGATCGATTCGTGGATAGCCTCAAAAGATGACCAGTTTTTTTGACGCGGGATTCGTACGCTACCCGAAAGATGGGAGAAAGTAGTGGCCAGCGATGGACAATACTTTGAATCATAAATGTATAATCAGTTTTTTACAATAAAGCCTCGAATTTCGGAAAAAAACGGCGGAAGCAAAGTTGTACACCTAACAGCTTTTTTTTAAAATTTATAAGAATTTGGATAACGGCGAAATCACGTTTATAGTTACAGAATAATATTAAAGAAATGCTGAATTTAAACTTTAATTCTAATTTAAACTTAATTAATATAAAAAAAATTAAAAAGATAATAATTTTAAATAACTTAAGCTTTTCTGCTTTAAAACAAATCTAGTTTAAAAATACAAATTCACTGCTTTAAAAATACAAATTATTTTCTTACATTATTTTTAAAGCAGTGAATTTATGTTTTAAAATAGTGAACCACTGCTGTGACAGATTTCCTAACTTAAATAGTTGTCAACTTTAATGATATATTTTGATTCGCGGAGCATCGCGACTTCTTCTTTTTGTCAAATATCTTTGTCAAAAATCTTTTTTTTGTCAAATATTTATTTTTATGCGAGCATTGATTCAGTATGTGTTTATCAAAATTTGAAGTGAACACGATCTTCTTAACTATCATCTGCAATACAGAAAAATACAAACAAGACGGACAGATCTATAAAATTCGTTCTTCAACTCTGATGAAAAAATTTTATCGAAATTAATCCTCGTTTTGGAACAGCATTTCAGAAAAAAATTCAATTTAATTTTAGTGATTTTTTATTGAAAAATTTATTTTTAACAAAATTTCGGAGAAATTTTAAGAAAAGTTTCCGAAAAGTTTAGTTTCTACAAAAGTTTAGAGAAATTTCAGTTCAATTTCAGTGTTTTTTTAATGTGTCAACTGAAAAATTAATTTTTAGTGAAATTTCGATAATTTTTCAATCAATAATTTTGCTAAAATGTTCCAACATGGAATAATTTCAGCGAAATTGTTTCACCAGAGAAGTCGGAATCCAGTCGCACTTCAAGTCGGAATCCAGTCTAATAAAAAAATAATTTAATAACACATTTCGTAAATTTATACTTCTCAAATTTTATTGGAGAATCCAATCGAAATATTACGGAAACAGCCGAATATCAAATAAGTTCAAGTTAAGATCGGTTTCAAGACAATCTTAAATCAAATAAGAATTTCTTAGGAAAAAACTTCTCGAAAGTCGTCTTATTTCGTAACTATGGCCGGTATTCATAGTCAGATCTTATATTGAAGATCATCTTAAATACAATCTTAAGAAGTCACAAATCAATCAAAAAGAATGTCTTAAGATATTACTTAAGACAGTCTTGAAGAACGGACTATGAATACCGCCCTATGAAATTGTACGAGTTTCAAGATGATCTTAATTGAATAAGACAGTCTTAATCGAGACGGTTTTAAGTACTGTCTTGAGCTTTGAATACTACCCCAAATCTCTGCAGTTAAGCAATTCAACATATCCTGTATTTTCCTATTAATACGATCTTAATCTAACACTGCATGCGAAATTTATTGCCAAATATGTATTTATATAATAAATAAAGTTTAAAGACTCACCTCAATGAAACTTGACATCATCGAATTTCATAAATATTTTTTTACATTAACTACATGCACGATCTAATCATGAATATTTCACTAAATATACTTCATCACAAAAGCAATAAATTTATGCTGGGACTAGTAAATGACGTTTATTAATTTAGCAAAAATCCCGCTATCTCATATTAGGCGCTTATCTCATAATAGGGGTCTCTCCTCTATTAATAATGTTTAACATGATTTTGGATTTTATTAGGATTTTTATACCTTTTTGTTACTGTTTGCAATTACCGATTTTTTGTAACATTAATTATGACCTTATATACAAGTCTAAATGTTTGTTCAATTATATAAAATTTAATTTTATATTATTTCTGGTTTAGCATTAAATTAATTTGGCTCATAGTCTCTTTTTTAATTATTTGATTTGTAAACATTTAACGATTGTAATTTTACGAAAATAATTTTCAGTTTATATTAAAAAAAGTAATAGGTATATTTATTACACATCTTTTAATATAAACAGAAAATTATTTGTAATTGCACACAACCGCTGAATTAACTTTGTCTTACACAAAATCCTATTTTTATGTACTGGAAATATAAATAATATCATAATATATATATCAATTTTCAAATAGAGCGCTAAAATCGCCAGACAATGACTAACCTGCCACACGGATCTCGATCCTTTTTGTCCATAAGCTGGCTTTATGCTCCGTCTAAATATTCAACGTCTAAATATTCAACGTCAATGACGTTTATCTTTCATCTTGGATCATTTAAATAGTTTAAACTCTATTGTCTCATATAACAGCAAGCAGTTGAATCATTTGAATTGCGCAGCAAACACGGCGATTTCCAATTTTGACTGTTAATAACAGATGGACATGCGCGTGAATGCAATGTCCAGATTCTTTATAAGGATTCTAAGGAATAACAAACTTTCCAATCAGAGCTCTCTAGGATATAATATCGAACTTACACATCAGAGCTCTGATTGGATGGCTATTCTCTATTGTCTGTGCCTATTATGTTTAGCAAGCCTTAATGCTCTATTCAGGGCTATGTTCAGATTCCTATTCGAGTTTTAGATTATGTACCATCTAGACATCTTTTTATCCTTGTTGTTCACTGAATGTGAAACAAAGTTAACATGATGTCTGGAACATACTCAGGTGGGAACCTGAATGCGCCTCAGTACTATATTGCTGGATTCATTTTGGATCTGATGTGCGTCATACGACGCTCTACAATCAAAAAACAGGATTTCGTATCATGCTTCGTATCATCGATACAAAATAAAATTCTGTTTTCTTGTTGCAAAACATTATACGACGCACGTCGGATCTAGTGTGAATCCAGCATATATCAATGCTAGGGTCTGAGCAAGAATTGTCGTAACACTTAGGGTGAAATCACATGGTGCGAAAAACGATTGCGGAATAGAGAATGCGTCATGGAAGCAACCAATCAGTGTTATTTTGCGTTATTCCGAATAGCGCTAATTGATTGTTTCATCCTTAGATTTAAATTATAGATATAAATAATCCCGAATCTATAATAGCTTTTTAGTCTTAAGCCATAAGGAATGAATAAATCACAATCACTTATTCTCCTCGCATTCGATTGCAGTTGGTCAATTTCTTACAGCTTAAAACTTAAAACTTAAAACACCTATATAGATCCGAATTAACGCACAAGTTTCTAAAGATTAGAAAAAGACAAAGAGTAAGTTGAACCAAGATTAAAGTTAATCTACGTTGATACAAATTGGGCATAAGTAAGTGTTACGACGATTCTTGTGCTCAGATCCTTACGATGCTACGATACGACCAATGTAGAATAGCCTTAAAGGTAAATTTTTACGAGTTGCTCTAACTAGCTGTTTCAGTGACAAAAAGGATCACATTTCAAAGTGGATATTCGTATTCAATTTTGATCACGTGATCCTTTTTGTTACTAAACAGCCGATTTGAGCAGCTCGTGAAAATTTATCTTTACGATCACTGGTCTAGTTTCCATCGAAACCGGATCAGATTGTAAGAATCAATCAACTACAGAGCATTCCAGTGATACGGGAATGTTTGTGCATGCCCCGATATGATGTGAAAGCAGCCAATACGAAACTGAGACGACGCTTACGCATGCGCGACGAACATTCCTGTATGGGAATAATTTCCACGACAGCGCATCACTGGAGCATTCCTCTGTTACAGTCGAACGACAAAGGAATGCTCGACTGTAGTTGGCTGGTTCTTATATTTTAATCCGGATTAAATCCTCGGTAGAAACTAGACCACTGTTGCGAAATTTTGTGTGCGACAGCCCTTATAGCCATGTCGACCTCTCGGCTCAGCAATCTCCCTTCCCCTTACCCGGCACTTGTGTTCTCTTGTCCGTTAGCTATCGTAAAGCCGGCCGGAACCATCTTGCGCGACGTCTGATTTTCCCGCGTGCTAACGAAGCGCTCGCAGGAAGCCGTCCCGCGAAGATAGCAACGAATGCAAATGGCTGTCATAGTAATGTGTCCATACTTATCTGTCGTTCCCGCGTGTCTGACGCTCGAGTGTGCCGCGAAATTGTCGTGCGCGATCGATATGTGATGACCGGCGTCAGTCGTCGGATATCAAGTTGGTGTTGCTTGCGCGCGGTGGTGTGAACGTGTCTTCTTACATCGGACATTAACGTGCTACGTACGCGTGCACGCGGGAAATTGCTCGTGACGGGTGAAAGAACGAGAGAGAGAGAGAGAGAAATACGCGCGCGCGCGCTCGTCGCGTGCACATGTATGTGTGCATTATCTCCGACAGCGGCGAACAATTCCTCTCCGGTAGCCGTGTCGAGACCGAATTAGAGCTCGAACTCACGACACCGCACGATATTGCTCACGACTGCAAACCGATAACCGCGCGATTCCGCGTGCAAGAAACCGAAGTCCGAAGGAGCTCCACGCCAGATGGTCGTCGTGCTCATTTTGGAAATATACCGCTTAGGGATCGCTCTACATCTACAAGCAGGTAAACAATCGTCAAAGACGTTACTTCCCGCAAGTCCGCGTGTCTTGCCGCTTTCTTCAAACCTCAATCGGTCACACGAGTAAGCTCAATCTAGTATCTTAGAACATCTATTTTGTTACTTGATAAGCGAAATATCTCGATATTAACTCTCTTACTCGATCTTTCCATGAAATTTTTTAATTTTTATCCACACGATGCAATTGCATGTTGCTTATTTCACACGCGCGCGCACCTGTACAATACACACACACATACACACACACACACACAAAATATTTATTCTTTTCATATTTATCTCATCAAATCTTTTGTCAATAAAAACTCAAGTACGCGAGTACCAATTTTGAATTAAAGACGAAAAATTTTTATTTTTATGTGAATTTTGTTAGAATGGTTTAAATCTCTATTCTTTGAACAACAAAGAATTGTTTTGCAAACTTTAGTTTTCATTTTTAGTAAAAGTCTTGTAAAACAATAATGAAAAGAAATGAAAGATTATTGACAAAAGGGTTAAGGAGCAATCAACATGATCCACAATAAAAATGTTATCTGAAATATTATCTCATATTTTATGTTTTATTATAGATATACTGTTTCACAAAGACTAACGGAAGGAATTTTGAACTGTGAGAAAGATGCCTGCAGTCAGCGTCTGCGATCCTATTGCAGCCAGGCTTCACTGCGCTCTAAATAACAGTCCGTCTAAAACCACAGATGATCTGTCGATCGAGCTAGTGAGCAATGCCTCACGGATCATACAAACAGAAATCCGTTATGAGGAATTGAAAGATTTCCAAGTGACAAGTCAGGTGCAAGCTAATTGTAACATCTTCCTCAACTTGTCTCCTTCTGAAAATTTAGAGGGGAACAAAGGAAAAGATAGTGCAATCTATAAGAAGAATGATATAAACAAGGGACCGATTCTACCAGAACCAAGTGTTACTCTCTATTCTCCCAAAAAGGTTCATCTTGGATGGAAAGGCACGTGTCCAGTCGGAGCTGGCATGTACAACGTTGGAAATACTTGTTATCTGAACAGCACTCTTCAGGCATTGTTTCATGTTCCAGCTCTCGTCAATTGGTTGCTGTCTGATCCACATCATAATTCCAAGTGCGAGCAAAACAGTAAGTTCTTACTTGCTATTCTGCTGTACGCATTGTGCACGCGTTTCTAAGTATAATACAAAATATAATATAAAGTTATAATAGCATGGTTTTGTATGGTATTTTGATAATAGGATAGTTTTAGATGGCGGTGGAGAATGCCTTACATGTGCAGTAGCCAAGACTCTGCAGTTCAGTCATCAAAAGTCTGGTGGTGCAATCAAACCGTTTTATGTGTATAATAAACTAAAACGTATGTACTTGCCTCTAATAATAAATATATCACACATGCATAGACAAATACTGTAGTAGGCGTTATTCCTGTAGTCATTTGCCGAACTATGGTGCCTGGACAACAAGAAGATGCTCATGAATTTTTACGCTATTTATTGGAAGGAATGGAACGCGCGTATTTGACTAGGCATAAAGCAACTAAGTTGGATAGCTATTCTAAGGAAACGACACCTATTAATCAAATATTTGGTGGATATATACGTACTGAAGTGAAGTGCCTGCAATGTCAACATGTTTCTACCACGTTTCAACACTTTCAAGTATATAATAAAGTTATCGCTATAGAACTGTAAAGTAAATGATTTTCATGTATGTTTCTATTTATAAACATTGTGAATTTTTAATAGGATTTGCTTGTGGATATACGCAAGGCGAATACACTGGATGAAGCATTAAATAGTTACTTCAGTAGAGAACAATTGGATAACAATGACTATAAATGTGAAGCCTGCAAGAGGAGAGTTCCTGCTACAAAACAATTTACTCTGGAGCGTCCGCCAAAAGTGTTGTGTGTACAGTTAAAACGATTTAGCTATTTAGGAGGAAAAATATCTAGACACATCGGTTTTAAACAGACTATAGATATGGGCCAATATTTGTGGAGAGAACCGGGCGAATCTTCCAAACAGCTAACTTATAAACTTATGTCAATGGTAACGCACATGGGCCCTTCTGTAAACTGTGGCCACTACACGGCAATTGCACAAGTATCGAGCGGTCAATATTATTCCTTCGACGATTCTTGCGTTCGCCCAATAAGCCTTAATAATGTATTAAGTACAAATGCGTATATTATGATTTTCGAAATGGAAAATGATAGTCAAAATCAACAAAGCGTGAAAATGAATGGCACAACATCGGCAAAGAATATGCCGACTTCGCTTTCCAATTCTACAAATAAGTCTTCTATATCTAAATCTTTGATGTCTGCTGGATGTTTTGCAAACGGATCGTCAAGTGGATTAGCAAATGACTTCAGTAGTACGAGTAAACCAACGTTAATCGGTCCGCAACTCCCACCACAAAGAAATATAGAATTAAATCTTCCTGTACAAAAATCCAATGAATCCGTTAGTACACAATTGCCACAGAAAACGCAGGATAAATCGCAACCAAGGTTAGTTGTGCACATTAAAAACGGAAAGGTTCTGAATGGAAACAGTTTAGTGCCCTATGATGGTTCCAGTGAGGAAGAAGATTGTTCCTCTGGGACAGGGATTTCAAAAAGTCAAATATCAAATACTGTATCTCGAATTAATATCACGAATGGTGTGCCAAAATGCCTTGCGAAAGATGTAATAAAAACAAATTCCTCCAATTCTAAAGAGTTGCAAAAAACTAATTCCAAGAGCAATACCGTCGGCGTGTCAACAATGACGACGCAAGTTACAATTGTAGATTGTACAAAAATGCAAAATGGATCCAACAGTAACGGTCGGATAAATGTGCTGAAACATCAAAATGGAAAAATTGAAACAAATGGTCAGTTTGAGCAGCGCGATAAAGATAAATGTCGCCAGACTATCAGAAAAAATGGACAAGAAGAAATCATATCTACGAAGGCTATAACTAGCAACGTTAAAAACTGGCAAATCAAGGATACTCGTATTCTCAGTGGGTCTACTAATGGATGGTCATATACTGACAATAGGTAAATTCTTTTACGAAATATAACTCTGTATAATAATGATAAAGCGACAGGAAAAATGTCTATATTTGTTCTAGGGAGGATACTAAATCAAATCAAAGTAGTACGACACCGAGTGCCGCAGCTGTGCGAAATTTTAACGGTACCAATGATTCGGACGCTGTTTCACACTTATTAAAAATGTCACATCGCGGATATGGCAGTTCCTCAGGTGTATATCTGATTTTATCATAAATTTAATTACAGTAGAACTTCCTTGACTTTAGTATTCTGTAACTTCTTCATTTCCTCTTCCATACATGACGTATATAATCATTTTCAGTGTTAAAATAGATTATGTTGCGTTGGCATCTGTGCAAATTCTCACATATGTAATGCTATTTCTTTTTAATACTTCACTCCTAATATAAGAATGGAGAGAATCTTTCTAACTTCTCACAGCCCTGCATAGTAGAAGTTATGGAAGTTCCATTGTATATAATGTATTGTATAATGTAATGTATTGTTATTATTAAGTAGAAAAATCAAGAAGTATATTTTATTTTCTTCAATTTTCAGTAATGAATTGGAATGGCAATAGAACACAGATCGACCGCAATGTTGATAATGACAGGAGAGAGGAACGTAAACGTCATTTTAACGCTGACGATGAGGAAATAGATAAAGGCCGGACAAAGAAGATTAAAGACCACACGAATCGTCGGTCATATGAAGAGAGATCCAATACAAGCTACAAGTCATTTCACAAATGGAATCGACCAGTTAATGGTTATCATCATCATAATCATCACCATCATCATCATCATCATCATCATCGAAGATATCCTTACAATACTTCTTATGCACGGCCACGGCACGGAAACAATTATAGACCGCCACATTATAGACATCACTCTTATAGATATCTATAGATATCACTAATGCTCATTCTCGCTGTCATTAGCAAAGTGAACGACTGGCAGAGATGTATAAACGGAGAACGATTTTTAGGAGCTATATCGACAATTCAGAAATCGATCTGTTTTAACAGTGTGATTATACACTGATTGATTTTCATTTGTAAAATAGTTATCATTTTTCAATGTAAGTGAATTTGGAAGTAAACTGTTGCATTCTGACAGTTGATGCGTTCATTCAAATCTCATAATGACTCATTTATGGTGATTCATTTAAAAAAACATTGCATGTTCCTGACAAACTCGTCGTGGAATTTTTTGCCTCTTGCATAAGTTTGGTACACATGTATTTCGAATGAATCGATTCATGGGGGATGAGTATCATCAACTATACATACCATTTTGTGTTCAATATAAATTATTGTAGAAAATTATAATTTTCTTCAAAAGTAACGATAAATGAGCAAAATAAGATGTTAGATTAACAGTAAATTAATATATATTTGAAATTAGCCTCAATAAAATTGGATACACAAAATATATTAAAATTTTGACTCACAGAGTCTTCTTTAGTTACAATAAGAAATCTTAGCATTCTAATCGCAAACAAAAGTCGATAGAAACTTAATGTCATAATTGTATCGCAACACATCGAAGTATTAGCACACCATTGATTCGTAAAAAGTACCGTCAAGATGTCAAAAATTATAACTAAACCCTCGATTAATTAAAATCTCTTGAATGTTGTTCAAGATTATGACCTGGATAACATTTGTTAAGATCAAGGCTATTGAAAGTTGTACCTCTTATTTTCATTTTTACATAGAAATGTAATTTTTAATGCAAAAATGAAAATAAGAGGAACAATCTCCAACGACCTTGAGTTTAATAAATGTTATCCAGGTCATGATCCTGAACAATATTCAAGAGGTTTTAGTCGGTCGGACATCTTATAATTCAAAAAGTACTTAATGAAAATGAACTTAATTATAGTGTTTTGGAAAGATCTCGAGATTATCTACAAGAATGTGCAATAAAAAGTAGGGGGTTCCATTTAAGAAATTGAAGGTAATCACATGAGATGAGGTCAAAGTCAAACTAATGATCATCTTATATTCCCCTCAAAACTATACAACTTTTTCTGAATATTTTTTTCTAAGATCAAAACTAAAAAGTTATTTGGGGTGGGACATTAAAATGGGATACCCTATATATCAGAGTAGTCATGTAACTTATGATCATAGTGTGAAACATTTGACATATAACTGTCTGATAATGATATTAGTGTTATTGCTCTTATCGAAATCCTAAGATGAACTGAAGCCAACGAACAATAACACGCATTATATATGATGTGAGTAAAAACAATATTATGTGTCTACAATCAACTAATTATAGTCTTTAGAATTTACTTTTAAAATAAACTAAAGGATATCATAATTATTCATCATTGTTTTTGTTTACGTCACATTTAATGTATGTTATTGCTCGTCGGCCTCAGTTCATCTCATGATTTTGATAAGAACGATAGCATCAATATTATCATTGCCAGACAGTTATATGTCAAATGTTTCATACCATGACTGTAAGTTACATGACTACTTTGATATACATTCTTTTTCTTTTTTACACAATTTTTAATATAATTATCTCGATCTAGATTATTTTACCATTGACTCTGATGAACCTAACGTGATTCTCACTGTTAACCGAGGATTTATAATTTTTGGAGGAGTTATAATTTTTAATATCTTGACTCTCTTTACGGACATGGTATGGATCTGGTACTCTTTACGGACATGGTGTGCCAATATTTGAGTATGTTGCGGTACAATTACGACATAAGTATCCATCGATTTTTATTGTTTACTATTAGAAACTAGGATAATTTCTTATTGTAACTGAAGAAGATTGTGAGTCGAAACGTTTTAATATATTTTGTATATGCAATTTTATTGAATCTCAAATATATATTAATTTATTATTAATCTAACATCTTATTTTGCTCGTTTATTAAGTAATATAGAAGCAATTTATTCTATATCTTTAAAAGAAATAAAGTATTTATAATAAATTAAATTGGATATATGTTTTGTGTGTGTGTGCGTGTGTGCGTGCGTGCGTGCGTGCGTGTGTGTGTGTGTGTGTGTGTGTGTGTGTGTGTGTGTGTGTGTGTGTGTGTGTGTGTGTGTAATAATCCGTCCTCTTTTTTTTTTTGTATAGAGGTACTCTTCCCCCCTGTGAGAAGCAATGTTAAGACAGATAGTCATTCTTCGAAAACGACTAGTTATAATGTTTGTTGAGGCGTTTCGAAGCAAAAGCGCAGATTAGCAATTAGCACGTTTAATGGCAGTGTCGCGCTACTTTTTGTTACTATATAAATTACAATAGCACATACTTCTCTATAACGCGAATTTAAATATGTTTCTACTGCAATTATTAAAATAATTGTGTATAACTAAATAACATATAGTTATATATAATAATAATAATAATAATAATAATAATACCGAATATGTAACTTGTACATTACTTATGATATAGTCCAGGAGCGCTTATAATATTAAGAAATCGCTATTAGCGATTAAAATTACAAAACTATAAGTTAATTTTTTAAGTGATCCGTGAAGAAGTCAATTCTTAATTGACTTTTATTAATCTCATCCCATATCTCATTACATCATTATCGAATGAAAAAACAGGAATGTTAATGGAACGTAAAGATGTCATATCAATGAAATTAATATGCGATGTTATAAAGTGACTGCTATGCTATGCAAACAAATCAACATCAAATTTATGTATGTACGTACTATATGTATGTACACGCGAGAATACAAATGCTTTCTTATCCGAAGTTGTATCCCCATGTGTATGAAAGGAAAACAACAATGTCATTTATATAAGCCAACAATCAATAAAAAGAAACAAACTGAATATCTATCTTCTGAAAAAAGGACTATCGCGTTTCGGATGATATCGAATTGGCCATGGAAATAAGTTTAATAGTTTAACAAGGTATACCTGAAATAATATATAATAGTTTAACAAGGTATACCTGAAATAATTTCTATAAACAACCATCATGACGACCGATGACATATCGACTCATGACATTGTACAAATTCTTGAAAAGAATGTGAGTTAATATATAAACATCAAAACACACGAATACGTTTCATTTTTAAGTGTTTCAAAATTATATGCAGTCAAACGAATTTTACACATATGATGGATACATTTTTTTTATACAGGTGAACATTCTCAAGTCAGAAGGTCACGGTCCAGACGTAACTCTTGAATTTCATGACAAATTCGAATTGTTTCGTAAACTGTTGTGCAATCTGACAGATAAACTCCAGTCGTTATTATATTTATCTGAGAACTACACCTCCACGAGCGATTTTAAGCAATTTATAAACAGGATTGTTGGTTCATGGAACTCTATTAATAAGCAGGTAAAGCTTCTATATTTTATATTTATGGATTTCTTGTATAAATATTTACAGGATTGATGCATAAATTATATAGGTCTGTGAAAAATGTTCCAAGATACAAGTGGGTAGTCGTACGCTATCGGGAATACCATTAGCATTGCTCCTTGAAAAGATAAAAAGAGAGAAATCTTTAACAAGGGAATTGTTGCACATCCATGAAACCAAATACAGTCGTGAATATCTCGCGAAGTGTTATGTTTTGTTAAATGAAACTGAAGATTTATTATGTAATCTCGAAAAATCTGATGATAAGGCACGTATCTACTGTTTTTAACATTTAATATATCATTATATAAGAAAAGTGTACAGGCAAAATGTGTACAAGCTTATAAAACCTTCTATAAGCAAATATTAGTAATCCTTTTTGATTTGCAGTTACGACAATATATAGCTATATTGAAGTTGAATCCATTCCTTGTTAAATTAGAATCTGATGTAGACACATATGTCTCAAATATTAACATATCACCAATCGATAAATCTAAATGTCCAAAACTGGATGTTTTTCCAATTGTCGCAAAACTTCTCACCGGTGAGTTACTTGACGATGAACCTATAGATCCGTGTTGCGTTTTAGCAGATAATGTACCTAGGAAACCAGTTTTCATTATTAAAATAAAACACAAAATGGATCCAACAATGATACTCGAGGAAACAATATAAATGTACGAAGTTACACGTTATAATGGAAGAGAATAATATAATGTTATATAAACAATATATATAATAAATGTATTTCAATAATTTATATTTGGCAACATATTATAAACATTAATTAAACAAATCAAATCTCAAGGAAAGAGCTTGATCTCTTGCTCGGGTACTAGACAATATGTGGATTATCCATAATATATGTATAGTACATTGTACATATTTATTTTGGTATCTTAAAAATACTACATACTGCCCACAAATGCGATCATCATTCTTGATAGTTGAAGACTAGATTTAAAAGATACCCTCAAGATCAGGAATAGAACAAGATGGGGCCAATCTTAATATAAGATCTTTGTGATGTAAAAATTCTGGCGGAAGAAGTTGTTTCTTTCTCTATAAGATAGAAGTAAACAAAATAGTATTCCTGTAGTATACAAAATGAAACGAGAAGATACATTGCTGTTACAACTAACCAGTGGCTGCGCAACAGTGTGTGCAACGTTGGTAGCGATGGGCGCCCATCCTTTTGTATTCAAGCATTTGTAACATGACTTAGGTTCGCCCAGACATGTTAAATGATATCCATGACCACAGCCAAATACCACCACGTGATCAGAACAATGCGACAATGGCTGTCTGCACACAGGGCAAGTTAGAGAAACGTTGCCGCATGCTCTACCAGCATCCCTGAATGACAGAAAAATCGTTGCATATATAATTGATGATATATATATATATATAATATATATATAATTATATAACATTTCAACAAAAGTCTGTTTCACGATGAACCTCTTTGATTTTACATGCTTTCATCACTCAATTTAGAAATGAAATCTTCCCTTGCGCTTTATTATTATCAAGAAAATGAAGTTCATCGTGAAGCTTTGCGGACTTCCGCACTTTATTAAAGCTCCGATTCACTCATCACTACTACACTGAAAAAAAATATAGTCAATTTTAATAAATATTTAGTTGAATACTATCTAACTAAATGTTTATTAAATATAAAGATATATTTATTTGATACAAGAAATGTTAATTTGATTTTAACAATCTTTTTTTTTATTGAACAAATATTTACTTACTATAAGTAATGTTTAGTTAGCAGTATTGAACTAAATATTTATTAAAATTAATTATATTTTTTTCTCAATGTACTCAGATTATGTCGGAAGCAAGAAAATACACAATCAAAATTTTTGCACAATATATTAATATGAAAATATGTTTCAACATTTAAAGTGATAGAAACAATTCGTAAGACACCGAAAACTTTCTTTTTGTTTCATTAATTAATAATATAGTTATATATCTAGAAATTAATTATGCATGTGTATACAGGAAAATAATGATAAATCTTTTGCAGGAACAGAATGGACTAAAACTGAAAAGAAAAGTCCTCTACCATTTTGCAATTTTTGCAATAGTTAATAAAATATTAATTGCTAAAAATTGCCGTAAATTGGTCTTCAATAATTTTGTACTCAAATACTATCAATTTTACAGAAAAACTACAAGAGACAAAAATTATTTATTATCTTCTCGTAGAGCTCTAAGAATTTTTTTAGAATTTTTTAATACCGTATTTTTTCATGTTGATAAAAATGAGAAAATGCAGTATTAAAAAGTTGATAAAAAATTCTAAAAAAATTCGTAGAGTTCTATGAGAAAAAAATAAATAATTTTTGTCTCTTGTAGTTTTTCTGTAAAATTGATAGTATTTGAGTAAAAAAATTATTGAAGATCAATTTTCGGCAACTTTTAGCAATTAATATCTTGTTAACCATTGCGTGATAGAAGACCAATGATAGAAGACTTTTCTTCTCAGTTTTCTTCTCAGTCCATTCTGCCCCTATGCGAAAGATTTATCATTATTTTCCAAACTCTATATATATGTGTTGTGTGTGTGTGTTTGTGTGTGTGTATAAAATCAAAAATTAAATAAGTTATGTTCCGCAGTTATGACAAACTATCTCAAATTAATAATATATAAATAAGTTAATAATATAAAAATAAGTATGATTTTTAATTTCTCCAAACAAGAAGATGGTTTCCAATAAATTATTCCATTAATTACAAGTATTGTTTTATTGAAAAATGTTTTTATTCAAATTTGCAAAAAATTTTTATTCTGTATTTTCTCGCTTTTGATAATCTGAGATAAATAAACACAAGTCTAAGAATGAATATATCTCGCATGTCATCAGAATTTCCAGGATACCTCAAGGATGTTTCTAGAGCCTTATGAAGCTCCAAACTCACTAATCGAGCGGTAGTTTCAACCAGTGTTTGCTCATATCGCGATTGAGTGAGGACTCCGGACAGCAGTTGTCGTATGTCACCCATCGTTCCGCTCGTTGCTGACGGATTTCTCAGGATCTGCTCCAATATGTTCGACAAAATCGATGTACCGCTCAGAGATTCTAGAATTAATCTCAATAATTTGCCGTTCAATATATCCACTTTCTGCCTGTTATTCTCTGAATGCGATCGAAACATAACTTCCACTAGGGGCATCCAGTCGAGATTTCCCGCAGATCTCCGACATATCCCCGCGAGTTGAATGGCGGCGTGCACCGTTTCGCTTTCCGAAGCTTTATCTTGCCGGTACATCTCCAGCCGATCCTCAAACTCTTTCAACAAAAGATCAAACGCTTCCTGGTAATTACCAAGCTTCTCTAGCATAACCGCTTCTGCATCTTTACAATTCCATTTCTGGACAATCTTTAACGCCTCATCCAACCTGCACCCATGTGGTCCGTGCAAATGAGCAACTACGCGTGCTGGCTCCAATTCGCATATTAATGCTAAATACCTCTCGAAGTGTTCAGTTGTTAATTCCAAAGAAACATCCTCCTCCTTATACTGCGCGATTTGATACAATGCTCCAAACAGCTTATATTCTAAGCTTAAATTATCGGTAAGCCTCTGTAGTATTGCATCAATCTTGTTCTGTAATCGTGTTGCAACAATCGTAGCAAACTGATTAGCATTGATCGTCAGAAGAGTTAAAGTGTGAACCGATATAACTTGATCTAACGAAGCAACCGGTAGATGCTCGAGCCAAGGCCACACATCATGATGCCTTAATGGCTCCAAGATCATGCACTCGCATACTGCTATCCAATCTTCTCGTGCACTGTACAGTAATTCCACGACTCTTATACTACAACACAAATACGATAATGTATCACGTGCGCGCGCGCGCGCGCGCGCGCGCGTGTGTGTGTGTGTGTGTGTGTGTGTGTGTGTGTAGATTCTTGACATAATTTTGAAATGAAGTTTAATAAATCAAAATATCGAGGCTATAGTTAATAGTTTTTAAATTAATAACGACTAAAATTCATTAATTACAAAGCTGACATTTCGCACGCTCAGGCATAATGATATGACAAGTAATGAGGGCCCTCTCAGCAACTTCGAGATTATCATACACAAATATGCATTGATATTTTTATTAAAAAATTATTCTTGCTTCTATACGAAATTTGTTTGTATATTATGTAAACTGACTTAATTAATATCAAAGTATATAACAAAATATCAATTTGATAGCTAGATATTACACTATCAAAATAAATTCATAACCGTGTTCGTGTGCTTTGTATGCACGGTATTATTATATTATCCACAGAAATATTTTTGTAATAAGTAAAACTATTTTTAACATAAAAAGAATCAAATATTTTGATAAAACAATATTTAAACATGTACATATTATATATAAAATACCAATTTAACTAACATTAATGTACTTAAATCAAATGACTATATATACGTTTCTGAATAATTATCCTAGATGATGTTAAGATGTTGAAAAAATATAAAAAATGATATAAATTACAAAACATGTATGTGTGTCATTAAATTTCATAGACAGTAAATCGAGATGTACATAATTCTTATAATTAAAATATATATGATTTTATAAACAATCATGAAATATTTTGTACTCTTTGTAAAATTTTATTTACAACGTTTTTAACGTCGCACACAATACATACAACAAACCAAATTATAAATCGAGATCGATAAAGCATCCTATACGATCATGCTAAATCTCTAATAATATTTTCTAATAATAAAATGTACCGTTCTCTATTTAATTCTTTTTATGTTAAAAATAGTTAATCTATTTCTTACAAAAATATTTACCGTGCATACAAAGCATACGGACAATGAATCTCTTTTGATATATATCATAATATCGCTATTGATATTTTGTTATATATTTCAATATTAATTATGCATATATAATGTACAAACAGATTCTGTATAGAAGCAAGAATAATTTCTTAATAAAAATATTATTGCAAAAAATAATTTATATGATAATCTTGAGGTTACTGAGAGAGCCATCGTGACATACTATCACCATGTATTATATCATTTGTTATATCATCATGCCCGAACGTGCGAAATTGCAGCTCCATGATTGGTGAACTTTAATTGCTATTAATTTAAAATCTATTAATCTCGACGTTTTAGTATTAGACCTTTCATCTCAAAATTATTTTAAGAATCTACAATTAGCAGGTAATGCGTTAGGTGTGAAACATTATATATAACCAATAAAAAGCATAGAGATTAATAAATCAATTAAAAATACTTACAAACTTGCTCTATTTGCTAAATTTAATAAATTATTATCAGAAATATTGCACAGCTTTTTAGAATGCAACAATCCCAACACAGCATTTTCTCTCTCAGTCTTAAAGTCCTTCGACAATTCCATGTGCACGTCAATACATAATATATCTATCATTTTATTCAATGTGTTATACTCTAACATAACAGTGCTTTCACATACTTCATTTGCCACGAATATAAGAACCATAAATTGTTGCTCCAGTGTGATGTAATCAATATTTTTCGGAGTAAGCGGCGTATTCGACATAACAATGCTTAATAAGATGTCTATGAGTCTTTGTCGGTGTCGGAGACCCATTTCGGAGGTAAATTCTGGTTCCTGAAAGGCGATGGTAATAACATCGAGAAAGCCT